CAAATCGATATTTTATTGAGCTGAAATGAGTTTTAAGCCCTTCCTTTGTTATTACAGGATGCCAGTAAACAATTATATCCTCAATTACTCCTTTTTATTCCATATGTACCTTATTCGGACAAGAAGTTTTAAACGGTGCCACAAGTTTTAGATAGGATCGAGGTCAGGACTGTTTCCTGGACAGAAACACAACGCAATGATCTTAGAATTGTACCAACATTCCAACTACTTTACTGTGTGGCAAGGAGTAGAATGAATCTTGCTGAAAAATAAATAAAGCATTGTTGATAAATAGATACCTGATGGAAGGCAGAATTTTAGGTTCTAGAATGGTGTCAATGTATTTTATGACATTCATTGTTCCATCGATGATATGAAGGCGACCAATACCATCTGCTGATATGCATGACTAAATAATAAAACTATGTGGGTACTTCACAGTTGCCTGGATGCAGTCAGGATGTAAGCGTTTCTGGTTACTACGTCTTACATATTTTAGGCTATCACTACTGAAAAGCGATATTTTAGTTTCCTTCCTCCATATAACTTGTGAAAAATAAATATTTGTCCAATTAATATGTTCCATTTCCCACTGCAGTTCCTTTTAGTGCTGCTGTAAATTGAGATAGGGAATTCTACCTTTTAGTCTTACATCTGTCAATCTGCTCCTGGTTGTTTTTTAACTGACAGAAACACCAGCATCACTCAGATTACTTCTGATGGATGTCCATGAAATTCTTTTATCTCTGAAACATAGTATTTTATACTTCTGTCATCAACAGATGTGGTGCACCTTTTTTGCTCTTTTACTGCTTTTTTTAGTGAAATTGTCTCCTGACATCTTTAGCAAAACGTTCAGACTGCAAATGCAGTCACTGAAATACCCACCTATTATGTAATTTTAACATAGGAAATACAATTTTCTTGTCACACATGTATCCAATCAACTCTTTTATTTGATGGTATTGCTTTTTGACTAAATATCATTGTTATCATGGCCAGGAAACAGTCCTGACCTCAATCCTATCGAACACTTGCGGCACCGTTTGAAAACTCTTGTCCTAATGAGGTACCCATGAAACAAAAAGGAACTAATTAAGGATATATTGTTTCCTGGCATCATGTAAAAATAAAGGAAGAGCTTAAAACTATTTTCAGCTCAATAAAACATCGATGTGAAGCTGTAATAAAGAATAAACGCCATCTCACTAAGCTCTGACAACTCAAAGCTTTCATCAGTATCCAACGTATATCGACAGTTATCGCAGCATAACTCTTTTTGTGCTGCAAATAGTTGAATTTCCTTTTTTAAATTGTACTTAGTATTAAATTTTCTTTAAAATGATATAAAATACTTTGCATTTTGTGCAACGTAAAATTTTCTATAAGCATATATACAAACTTAAAAAACATAACAATTTAAAAAGGTGTCCACAATTTTGTGGCCACCGCTGTATTTTTGAATTTATACTTCTTTCGGGGCGTTATAGAAATAGTATGAGAGTGAATTTTTACGATGCGCGTGCACACCGTCACGCATGCGAAATTGCTTTGTCTAGAAATATACAGAACGGGACAGATCGTCCCCGCCTTCGAAATTATGAAGCAAAGTATTTCTCTTCAGTTCCCTGAAGAAGAGGACACCCGAGTTTGAGCCGGGGACCTCTCGATCTGCAGTCGAATGTTCTACCACTGAGCTATACCTCCGTGTCAGCTAACCTTTGCTTTCCGTAGGAACGGATACGAAAATGCTTTGATTAGAAATATGCAAAATGGTACAGATCATTCAATGCTTTCAAAGTTCTCGAATAAAAATTTTCTCTTCACTTCCCTGAAGAAGGGGACACCTTGGTTTGAATAGGGGACCTCTCCATTAGCATTCAAATGCTGTACCACTGAGCTATACCCCCCGTGTCCGCGAACCTTTGCTTCGCGCTGATTTGTGACGTCACTACTAGAAGGGAGAGATCGTCCTTCGCCTACGGAGCTTCTCTGATGCATTTGTTTGGATACTTTTTGTTATTAAACCAAACATACTTACAGGAAATTAAAAAAAAATTAGTAAATTAATCTTAAAATTGTGTTTTATGTACATAAAGCATAAGAGTAAATATTAGTTTACCTATTTAAATAACAATTGTAAGTATATGATTATAAATGTATTTACTACGAACGCATTGCAGAAACACGTTTATTACATTGTAGCAAATTATAAGAGCCTTTTGTGTGTATTCGTATATTTATTTTTGAAGTTATCCTTCTTTTTGGGCGTTAGGTAAAAAGGATGAGGGTAAATTTTTACGATGCGCGTGCATACCTTCATGACACCGATGCGCGCGCGCACACCGTTGTCTAATATTTTAACATGCCACTTTTTTGGTGCTTGGAGGATCATAATAACTATTGTTATAAACCATATCTGTTGGGACGCATCCCCCCTGTGCATTCCCCCTTCTACAGCTTTTTGGCCAATATCTTGGCACCCGAGCCTCATAGTCCATTAGGACCTGGTTCATTCGATCCCTCCCTATCTGCTCTTCCAGTTATTATTATTTCATGCTCATAGGGCTATTTCTTCCATAGTTTTTAATTGTCTTAAACTTTTTAAATTTGTTTAAATTCACAATATCTTGGTTCCTGTTCGAGTCTCGAACTTGATATTTGAACCAAGTGTTCCACTCGTCAAAACTCATGCAGTCATCTGCCTCATTCCCATTGTGTAGGCATGAGGAGGGCTTAAAGACTAAAATATCTTGCTCCCATGTTAATCCTATGGGGACTGGAAAAAATTTCTCTCCCCTTAGGAATTGAGCTTGAAACTCGATTTTTGGATGTCCGTCATATTTTCGTATTAGCGCGAGCTTTACGTGGAATTGTCCCCTCCCTTCTCCAGGCCTTCCCCAGAAATAACTCGAATCCTATGCACCTTGGTCGACCGCACCGGCTGGATTCGATTGTTCTTCCTATGAGCATCCTAGATATATTTTTTCAGGACCACAGCCCCATTTCTTTACCCATATTTAGCATTTTAAAATTATTTTTAAGTTATATTTTTTTAAATCCAGCATAGCTCCGAGGACTTTTGAGATTCGTTAATGAAACTCTGACCATAGGTTCTCCCCGTTAAGCTGCTTCATTTGTTATAATTCGTGTGTACATAGAGCGCTTAGGGGGTGTTCGTTATCACTAAAATTAGAATCCCGATGTTTTTCTGATGGGGTTCGATCTTTTGATGACGTAACGATATTACAGAGATAGAAGGAGGAAACTTTGGGATCACTTACTACTCTGTGTATCGTTGGGATGTACGTGACCATTTACGTCACAGTTGTTCCCCTCCGGTGGGAGTTAATTGCGCTTTCTTTTTCCAAGCTAGCGCTACCCCATTTGCAACTACAGACTCCGGACCGGTTCTAATGGATTTCTCTTGTATTTGCTCACAATCAGGCCTAGTTTCGTATTGCTGGGTGCCTTGCTTCTATTTTATTTAATTATTTTAAATGTTTTAATTATTTTAAAATGACCATAACTTGGGGGCTCTTCAGGCGGATGTCTTAATTTTCTCAGGAACGATTCTTCCCACCGAGACATTCAAAATGATGTCTTATATGTCACATTTGGTTTACTTTATCTCCAGATACAGTCTGATACCCCCATGTTATTGGTCCTATTGCCCTGTGCGGGGGTGTTTAAATTTATTGAAATCGTGATTGCCTCACGTTTATCAGGTCCGATTGACTAAAGGTTAGTATCGTTCAAATCTGCTCGTGACCAACTTTTGGTCATTGGCCCAGCTTGCCCTGCTAAAGATTTTTAGAAAGATTTTAATCTTGTGTTACGCCAAAGAAGTACAACTTTTTACGTGCGTACATAAGTACACACACACTTTCTTTATAATGTTAGTGTGATATAATGTTGTTGAATCATTATTTTAGTTTAAAAAAACTATAACTACAATTTTCTAATTTTTCTTCTAACAGCCCCCTCACAATTTCTAAGCTTTGATTTTCTATTTAGATTACTAAATCTGAAAATAACTGATAATTGTTTTTTTAATGAATCATGATCTAATCATTTTGGAATGCTTATTTATGTGTGTTCAACTTTTTATTAGTAATGTGGTTAAAGAATTTCTACCCATTATATTCCATAGGATTTATCTCAGTAACATAAAAAGAAAACGAGAATGCTTGACACTCTATAAAACTGGTTAAATCCGTAAGGAAAGCATTCTTCAATCTGTGGCATCCATCTTTTTTTTCCATCATTTAAATTCTGTTTTGATCTTCAGTGCTATATTCTTTTATGTCTCAAATTGAGTATATTGAAATTTTATGTGTGCTTGCAGATCTTAATTTTATAAATTTTGTAATGAAATTAAATTTAATATTACTTTCCATCCTGATTAGAACTCATTTTTTCTCTAATGGATATTAGCCCTAACTCTTTTCTCTGTGTTTTAACGTTAATCTGAAAATAAAAGGTTATGAATTAGACAAAGGAAACGATAAAAGAAACAATTTTGATTTCGTAATGATCAGAGTTTCTTTTACAAACAGAAAATTTTGTACATCTATTTATCAATGTATTAAACTAGATTATCCATAACTCAAAAATTAATTCTATAAATGCATTAAAAAGAGATAAAATTTAAAACTGTGAAAAATTCTTTAAATATTACTTAGAACTAAAGCAGCCATTAACAGTCGCTAAAAAATAACCAATATGAATAATATAAAAAATGAGAAAAATAATTTTTCAGCTCTTTTCTCATCAAACAACTAATTTTCAAAGAAATTGCTTTTAATTTTATCTATTTTTTTAACTAAAAAAATGTCTTCTTTTTCTACACACAGAGGTTAAAGCTATTTTTTAAGGGAAAATAAAAATAGTACTCCACCATTTAAAAATTAATCGCTAAAATTATATAAGTTATCTCCTTCAATTTTCTTAAATTTCCAAATGATTTTTAATTATATTATTTATAACTTAGGTAAAAAAAATGAACATCTCCTATGTTTTACATGCATAGTTGTCTATATTAACACTCTGGAATTTATCAACTGTTCATTTTTTTTTTATTTTAGTTGCTGCCCTCTGTAAATTTTTGTATGTACCTCTATTTTATAATATTTTTAGTAGATTTCGTTACTTTGATTTCAACATATTACAATATGCATATGTATATACATATATGTATGCATTAAATAATATTGAATGCCTAAAAATTAAAGAAAATATTTAATAGTTATTGAATATGCTCTGAAAACAATTAAAACATTATCTATGCTATAGGAAATTTAATTTTATAGTAGTACTAATATGAACCAAAAAAAATGCCTTATCAATTTTTTAGAGAATTAAAAGCAAATAAAATTTTTCACAAACTAAATGTCAATTTGTCAAGGGTAATCAATATCCACTGTGTTAAAAGAATTATTTTTTTTTCATTTAATTTTTTCTGCCTTACATAAATAATACATTTATATATTTCTAAGACACAATGTTGCATATTTTTTTATTTTACTGACCTATATAACTCCATGCATCTTATTTTTAAGAATGACAAGCTCTTAAATTTGACCTCTTAATTATAGGGAAAATATTATTTAAAATTAAGAAGTTATTGTAGGCGATGAACTTGAAACCGTTTCAATAGTTATTTGCAGAATCATTAGCAATCGTACCAAAATACTTTTTTAATTAAGAGCTACCTTATTTAAATTATATTAAAAAGCTAATCACTAAATGTTTTAAAAATGTTTACTGCTTTCTGGTAACTTTTTGAATAATTGTGTTTTATTTATTTTAAAGGATTACTCTTTTAACAGAAACATTAGAAAATTTATTTATTGAGGAAATACCTTTCAGAAAACCCCTCTTATATCAACTATTGCTTAAAACTCAACTCTCAAGTTTAATTATTTATATCTTTCACTTAAATAGCGTGGAGGAATTTATCTTGCCTCTTTCACGACTATTATTATTCTAAAATTAAGTGTATGTTTCATTTCGAATTAAAGAAAAAAGTTCAATCTGTTCATTGTAGCGATAAAGTAATTCTATTCCAATATAAGGTTCATATATCTTTAAACTGAAAAGAGAACACAACATAAGTACTAATCTGTTAACTTAGAAAACTTCCTTTTTTTATTGCTTCTTTTTTTTCCTTGAACGAAAAGAAAGAGTAATCTAACCTTTTTCCTGTAATGATTTTTCAGTTTAGAAAGTTTTTTTTTAAAGACCGAAAGACATTCGGCATTTTTAGCAATTGATAAAGATTTATTTCTTCATATTCTTTCATTTTATAAGAATTTTATGTTTAAAAGTAAGTTATTGACAAAACATGCATAAAGTACTTTTAATGCAAAATTAAAATAGCATATTAAAATGAAAAAAAATTTTGAATGAGCTAATTTAATGTAAAATATCGCTAAACTATTAAATGCAAAACATGTTTTTTTTTGTAGTCATTCCATATTAAAGAAAATATGTTGTAAAATCATACTATATAAATTCAAACCAAGTTGTGTGTTTCTCGGCGGAATCAGCAAATGGCAGAATTAGCATGTTTTTCACGATGATATTGTACTTATAAATATCATTTCATTACGATGCTGAATACTTTTAGCATAATTATAAAAAAAACTGAAAAAACTTCGAAATACTTTTATAAGAAGGGCTTAAAAGAACGAATATTTTGTCTTACATAAATATATGAAGAATAATTATAATATTGAACAATTTGTCTTTCGTAAAGACTAAGCCTATTTAAAAATATAATATTTCCTTCATTTATTCAATTTTAGCATAAAATATGCATAACACTGCAATTTTCGAAAACTTTCATTGAAATTTAACAGATGCGTGATGTTTCTCATTAGAGATAAAAAAAAATATTAGTTATAGA